TGTAGCTAAGTTTTCACCGATATGGAAGTGTCTCACAGGACTACTGTGAGGCTGTTACAGGCAGGAGCTGATGCTCTCAGCTGTTAAGAGCCATGCTAGCTACTTCCCAATGACAGAGTCTCCAAGGAAATTAGGAAGCTGGGAAATCTCAGGGTGCCAGTGTGCCAGGCACTGAACATTCTAGTTCCACTTCTGTTGCTGTAAAAAAGCACTCTGGCTCAAAGCAGCCTAAGCAAGAAAGGGGTTTATTCGTTGTGTAATCCCAGGTCCCATTCCAGCACTGATGAAATTCAAGGCTGGAACTTGAAGGCATGCCTGTTTGTTAATCCGCACAGCATTACCTCTGACCAAGGAACTCACTCCGCAGCCAAAGAATTATTGCAGGAACCATGGAGGATGCTGCCTGCTAGCTGGCTCACAGGCCCGCTTACACTCAGCTTCTTTTCTTACATAGCTCAGGACCACCTTCCTAGGGATGGTACTGCCCATGGTGGATTGGGCCTCCATCATCAGATGACAGTCAAGACAGTCTCCCACCACCACCGCCACCACCAGGCCTGCCCACAAGTCAATCTTATCCACAGTTCCTCAGTTGAGGCCTGCCTCTCAGATGACTCCGGGCTGTGAAGTTGACAGTTCAAGCTACCCAGGAGACTCTATGTAATGATTTGAGTCTGAAATAGACAAACTGCCCCTACATACCTGGGAGCATTTCATATACTTCTTCCTCTGCTAGGGGAGTTATTCTGGGAGACTGTGGAACCTTTGGGAAATGGAGGCTAGTTGATGGAAATAGATCAGTAGGGAGCAGGTCTTTGAAGATTGTAGCACGCCCAGTTGTGCTCTTTGCCTCCTGGTCTACCACCATGTGAAAGGCCTTCATTCGCTGCAGTCTCCTGCCAGCACAGACGGAACAGCTATGCCGCAGTTTCTCTGCTGTGATGAACTCAGACATTCTAAACCAGGAGCCAAAATTTTCCTCCTGTAAGTTGTTTCTGGTAGGCATTTTATTACAGTGACACAAAAGTAACTACCCACTCAGTGGTTCCCTACCTGTACAAGATTGCATTTGTTTGCTAAAATGCACATATTGAAGGCAGAAAGGAATATGCTAGCTCAAACGTAATCTGAAAATGCTAGGCTCCAATACTAATTCTTAGATCAATCAGGTCCTGATCTCTCTCTCCTTATCACCATGTGAACTCTATTGGCTTTGTCTCAGACTTATTCTCCTCAATGTAGCCATGTGGTTGCAATAGTTCAGGCTTCCAGCCCTGATTCAGTCCTAATAATAGTACCAGAATTGATCTAGGCTATCATTGACCAGGAAATGACCCTGAACTGTTGCCAAGCAGAAGGAGTAGCCTCCACCTGGTTGCTAAACAGGAAAAGAATGCTGGAGAGTGAATCACAGCAAATGCAACATTACCATCTCAGGGCTGGGGCTGCAACTCATTAGTAGACACTTATCTTGAATGCTCAAGGCTTGGATTCAGAACCCAGCACTGAAAGCAATAACTTTTTTTTTAGCATTGTGAGCACTGTATATGCATTTCACTGTATATGCACTTCACTGATTAGCATGTGTCTCATGTGATGGTATTATTATAAATATTTCATGTTTTTTTTAAATCACTGAGGACTGTGGTAGTGAGGTGAAAATTGAAGTCTCCTTGTCAGAGTGATGGGGGATGTCTTTCTGTATGCTGTGGCTATTTTTTTCTCTTATCAGTTGATGGATAAAGCTGTTTTGACCAATGGACAGGCAGGCGACCACACTGGGAGGAGGCAGGGAAGAGGAATGGGGAGAAGAGCCGCTTGAGAGATGCCGAAGGAGTGACATGCCAGAGCATTACAGGTTAGCCACAGCCTTGAGGCAATATGTGGTTTAATAGAAATGGGATACTAATTAAGAGAGAGCTAGCCAATAAGAAGCCCAAGCTATTGACCAAACACTTTATAACTAGTATAAGCCTCGGTGTGTTTATTTGGAACTGAAGGGATTAGGATCGGGCTGAACAGAAACTCCATCTACATCAGAGCCTTTCTTACTCCATTTTTGTCTTCAAGTTATTCCAGTCTATAAACCCTTAGGGTCAAATATCTGGTGTATCATCCATTTCTTTGTTCCTTTTATCCCTTGCATCCAAATGTCATTGTATATCTATTTTCATTTCTCCACACACCTACCATATACGTCAGTCTTTATTTTCTACATATCTGGCTTGTCCTGCCATCCTGCCTCCCCTGGCCTAAGTGACTGTTGTCACCACTCTCCTCAAGGATGACAGTAGATTCCTGGTGGATGTTGAAGCCTCTAGGACAGGGATCATATGTTGTCAGGTTCAGATAGAACACGGCTGTATGCCTACTTCATTTAACATGATGGCTTCTGTTTTTTGTTTTAAGTTTGAGACACCATTTATAAGTCGAATGCTTTTTTGAACATATTTCCAGTCTGAAGAACTGAAGGACCTGGCAATACTGAAGCTGACAACATCACCCCACATGAATAACAGATAAAACCATGTGGCTGCCCCTAACCCATCAAAGGCACACACTTCAGTTTGCTACTATCCTCTCCTCTTTAAAAGTTAAATCAAAATGTTTGAATAAGGGCCAGTGAGACAGCTCAGGAGAGAAATTCACTTGCAAACCTGATTACCTGTGTTCACCCCTCTGGAACCCGCAGAAAAAGGAAATATCGGTCTTCTAACCTCTGCATGCACATTATGGCATGTGTGCACCCACACACGCATGTACACACACACAGAGAGAGAGAGAGAGAGAGAGAGAGAGAGAGAGAGAGAGAGAGAGAGAGAGAGAGAGAGAGCATATTCTTTTTTATTACCCACCCCCACCCCACCCCTGTCTTTCTTCATCTTGGTTTTGAGACAGAGTCTCCTGTAACCCAGGCTGGCCTGAAACTCACCATGTAGCCCAGGATGACCTTGAATTCCTGATCGTCTTGCCTTTACTATCAAAATGCTAGGCTTATAGGCAAGCACCATCATCATGCCTGGATTCCTTTACTTTACAAACACAGGAGCCCACTTGGCTCCCTTGCTGTTTTCTCTTAGCAATATCTCTTGGAGATTATTTTATGCATGTCTACATAAAATTTACTTGTGTGTTTTATAGTTGGAAAGAATTCCATAGTGGATATACTGTCGTGTATTTAATCCAACATTGTATTGGAAGACTTAAGGGATACCTCTAGACATTTGCTGTGGGAAGCATTATATTGACAAATAATTTATTATAAACAAATGTTACCTCATTATATTGCTATACTTGCATATATGTGTACACACATATAAGAATAAATGTAGAAGTGAATTACGGGGTCAAACCGTTTATGCTAAGGTGAAGTTTTCAATTGATTAAAGACAGCTCTGGTTGTGTGCTCCATCCTCCAGTGGAGTCCTGTTGGCTTATGGCACCGCTATGTGCCATCAGGGGCACCGTCTACTTACCAGTACATCCTTAGCACCTGCCATCATGTGGTAATAAGTAGCTGCTAAAGGAAAGGAAAGACTACCTTGAATGTAGAGTAAGACCTGGGTATTATGAACTTAGATGGGTCTTGACCACCCAAGTCTCTGGTTCTGTGTTCTCATAGAAGAAGAAATCCTCATGGGCTCAGTATTTAAGAGCAAGTATTGCTCTTCCAAAGGACCTGTGTGCAATGTTATGTGTGCACTGGCTTTCTAGTACCCATATGGTAGCTCATAACCATCTGTAACTACAGTTTCATGGTACCTGATGCTTTCTTCTGGCCTCCATGGGTACCAGACAGGCATGTGGTGCACAGACACACAGGTAAGCATGCCATTCCTCAAAACCCACATGGCAGATGGAGAGAACTCACACACTCACACACAACATACATGCATGGCGACAGTGCCCATATGCCCCCTCCTTCCACACACAAAATAAAATAAAATGTAATAAAAATTAGAGTAAAAGTATAAGAAGACATCAGGCTCTTTTTCTTCTGGTGTCTAATGTCCACCAGAAGAAGAAATAGAAAAAGCAATCCACTCTACTGTTGACCTGTAGGAGAGTAAGTGTGCCTCTTTCCGAAATAAGCAATCATCTTGGGTGCACTATCTTAATGAGGCTGGGTAAGGACCACAGGGTGGGAATTAGCTCTTCTCCACTCCAAGAAAGGAGAAAACTGAGCTGACAGGAGGAGGAATGTTCCACCAGGGAGTAGACAAACCAGCCCTGTGGCCCATTTTAGCTTTCCCTAGATCCACATCTGATCTCTAATCTGACAGAAGCAGCTGATGAATGACTATCTTTCTCCTTCAGATCCCCCCTCCCCCTCCCCATGACTTCAGAGTCTCCAGATGACCATTATCTCAACAAGATGAACAAGACCTTGGTGCTAACCCAAACCCCCTTCAAACCAATATTGAGACCGTGTGTTCTTTTTGGAAACAGACACAGTAGATAAGCCCTTAGTATATGTGTGAAATCTGCTAACACACAAAAAAGCAGGATTTGGGGAATATAGAAAGAGGGCACCCAGGGTTTGGGAACCCCTTGATTCCCATACCAGTAAGTTTGAGAGGACAGAGAATAGAAGAAAAGGAGAAAGGGGGAAGGGTGGAAGGGTGGAAGGGACAGGCTCCAAGCCGAACTGCCCTAGATTCCCCCGGGATAATGGCAGGAAAGCTGAGAGGCAAGCCTTCCACATTCCAGTTCAGGAGAAGGAGTGGAAAGGAAGGGAGAGGGGATGAGAAGGAAGCAGGAAAGGAAGGCGTGCAAGACTTCAGAACATCTTCCTCCTGGACAGGAGAAGAGCGAGCCTAAATTCCCTGAGCCTCCTCAAGGCAAAGGAACATCTCCGCGAAAGACTACATGATCCCCAAGAGGCTGCCCCTAGAGAGACTGTAGACACCAAGTCTGTAGGCAGGCAGACCAGAGAGCCCTTTGGGCTATGGTTTGCCCTGGTATGTGAAAAATTTGTCCACTTAGATAGTTGGCAAACATTTTAGAGGCAAAATGGAATTTATTAACAGAAAATATTTGTGAAGGATTGTTCCCTCCCTCCCCGCTTTCTTTTTTCTTTCATCTTCTTCCCATGGTGGAGGACTTCATTAACAAGATTCTTTCATCCTTGCTGGCAGTTTGGGTCATTAAGCCTGGCTTGAAAGAAGTGGGAGTTGGCTTTAAGGAGAATGCCGCTCCCCCTGAGTCTCTTTTCTAAACACGAGCGTCAGCTTTCTGCTTTGGGGAGTTGGGAAGCCTAGATAGAAAAGGAATTGCCTTCCCAATGGAATTCATACTGTTCGCCATAGGTGGCTTTAGGCTCTGCCATTCAGGCCCACAGACCTACCAACCACTACTTGTCGGCAACGTGGCTTTCATGTTTTCCGGCTTCCATGCCCGTAGGAGTCAAGTTATGAGGACTGGATGAGGCAATGTACAGTCAGTGTCTAGTGTGGGCTCCGTCCCAAATGACACTTCAATGGATGTCAGCTCTGTTCCTCCCGATGTGCGACGAGCCTGGTGGTTACCCATTTGTGGTCGCTCAAGCAGGGATTCAGTTGTGGCTGTTTCATGGCATCTATTAGTCAAGGTGAAGGGAAACCCCGGCATCTAGGAGACCTATAGTTAACCAGAGGTTGCAGAAATAGAAGACGTTCACTGGGGTTTACTGAAGGTCAAACGCTCTATATGTGACACCAGGGTGAACTTAGTTAGCCCTTCCCCACTCTCCTACTGTTATCTACACTGTTAGGGACAAAGTTAGATGGTGACTGTACCAGCACTGGGACCAGTGGACTTTCTGAATCCACCACTTTGTAGTGGAGGAAAGGCATTCCCTTCTTGACATGAAGGAAATGTCAAGACATAGAACAAGACAGTGGACACCCCCCCCATTTATATACCTAGGAAAAGGCACTGGGTCACATTAAGCTTATCCCTGATAGGTTGAAAGGTGACAGCTCAGGGGGAGCTGCTAGAACAAGATTTTCGAAGCCAAAGCTGGGCTGTGTGTGCAGAGGTGGAGAGAAGGGGGCCTGTGACTCTTAAGAAGTCAGAAAAGATACTTGCAATGAGTTCAAGAAACCAGGATTCCATTTTCCTCATCCGGGCAGAGCTCAGCCACACTTGTACACACTTGTACACAGCCATAGCAGTGCTTAATAGTGGCAAGCTTCTGCGTTGGGAGATAATTGTTACCCTGCATCTCACTCTTGCCCTTGGTCACCTCCTCTCTCCTGGCACAGGCAGATCTCATGCCGTTCAGCAACTTAAGACTTAATGTTTGCTGCCACACAGGGCCTCTGGGAAATTCCTGCAGAACCAACCAGCTATGGGTTCAGATCAGCTGAGGATCAGACTCATCCTTACTGTCTTAAAATGGCTTAAAGGTCACACCCAGGTGAAGCTACCCACAAGGAACATGAGGCATGTGGGTCAAATCAGGCAAAGGGAACCTGAAGGGTAAGTGCGAGTTAATGGCCAGGAGACATCCTCCTGCATCAAGCTAGACTTTAAACACAGGGTTCAGATTGATACAGATGCCAACCTCCCCTTCCCACCCCTCACCCTCCCACCCCCGCCATCCACTGCCCTCTGTAGCGGTTCCTGACTCAGACTCTGAGGACAGGTCCAGCAGTCACTATCAATAGTTCTTGATCTGCCTGATTTCATGTAGCCAGTGGTGGCTACCCAGCCTCATTGCAACATGGCAAGCCTTCTGCTCTATGTACCAGGAGAATGCAGGGCAGATCATCTCAGAACCCCTCACCCAGAAGCATTGCCCAAGATCTTCCAGTCCAGCTTGAGACCTAGAAGAGGAGGCCTTCTCATATGCAGACATTTGTGATAAAGATCAGTAACTTCCAGGGGATGGTGTACCATTTCTTGGAAAGGGTTTCCCTGTAGTCATCTCATTGACTCCTGTTTCAACAGAGAAAGAGCCATTTAAGGCGAGGAAGGAGGTAAGGAGAAGGCAGGCAGAGCCTACTCTCTCTCCATCCCGGCGTTGACAGGGAAAGTCTGGGGCCAGACCAGGGGCTGATATTACTAGATGAGCCAGATCTCACTTTGGGTTCCATTCTTGCCAGCTGGCTGCCCTTGGACAAGCTGTCTAACTGCTTATGCCCCATTTTTGTCATTTATAACAAAGATAGTCTTAACTCATGGTCCTTGTGAGGACGAAATGTGGTCATATACGGATGGCATCTCTCCATGTGACCACTAATTCTCCTTTTCTCTCATTCTGATAATGAAACCAAACTGTCTCCCATGATGCTGAAATATTTATAAGCCATGCTCAAGAGTCTTTTCTGCCATCCACATTCGCATCCCATATCTTGTCCTGATCTCTGCTTGCGTTAGACTCCCCACTCCTGTTCCTACCCTGGAACAAAGCTTAGGAGATGCCCCAGGTAACAAGGAAATGGCTCCTGCAAGCCAGCATTCTGAAGGCTGGGTTCTGAAGGTTTGTGCTGTGCTATCAAGACTCAACATGAGGCACTCAGGCCCAGGGGGACATGCCTATAGCTTCAGCACTGCAGACACCGAGGAAGGCGGGTCTCATGCCCAAGGCCAGCTTGCACTATATAGCAAGAGCGTGTTTCAAAAGAACAAAGAGTAGGGCTGAGAAACATGGCTCATCAAGTAAGGGCATTCTCTGTAACAGACTGGTGACTCATGTTTGAGACCCAGAACTCACTTGAGTGGAAGGAGAGAACTGACTGACTTCCAAAGTTGTTCTCAGACCTCCACATGACATGTGTGACATACCATATAAATGTAATACTACTGCTGCTACATAATAATAATAATAATAATAATAATAATGTGCATATTATTATTAAGTAACCAATAAATTGAAAAAATTAAAATGGTGAAAACACTAAAAATGTAAAGGTTCAAAGAAGTTTATATATAAAGATGTGACATACACATATGTGTATATTTCTGTATATAAAATATGTATGCATAACACAATCTAAATATCAAATAAATCCTATTAAACAAATTAACTACATAATTGAATAAGTTATTTATGCTAGGACAATATAAATAATTCTATATATGCTAGGGCAGTATAAAGTCATTAAAATCAGGCTTGGGAAATTATTTATTGAGAGAAAGAGACTCCTAAAATATAAAGGACAGCGAGAAGTCAAGAGTCAAGACTGCATTTATAGCAGAATCTTAAACACACAGCAGATGTTTAAATACAGATGAAAGCCTGGAAGTAAATTCATCAGAATGTGAAATTTGGTGAACCGTGAACATTGGCTTTGGAAGCTAGCCAATCTATGCCCACTGTAGAAAAATTAGAAAGTGCAGAGCAACATAAACAGGAAGAGTTAAAGAGAAAAATGGCTAATTTCTAAGTGATACACACACACACACACATACACACACACACACACACACACACACACACACTCCCTGAGATTCCACTCAGACGTGCAGTGAGGGAAGCTTGTGGGAGACTGAGGCTAAGATGGTTTCTGCTAGAAAAGGGGGAGAGGAAAAACTAGGTTGTGAGGGAGAAGCAAACTGAGAAGGGAGGGTGAGGGGGCTGCTTGATCATTGCACCTTCATTCAGAGGAGTGGGGATGCTTGTGCATCTGTTTGCCAGAGAAAGATAGCTTTACAGGATCTCTGGAGTAGGGCTGATTTAGGGGAAATGTCAGTACCGTTTATAGACCTAGAGGAACCCCAGGTTCCTCCTAGCCAGAAACCCCAGGTTTCTATTGCAGTTATAAATCATCCAGAGACTCAGAGACTAAGAGGATGACCGACATCTACTGTGTACACAGATCTGAAACCTGGGCTGGGCAGTCGAATGAACGGTTTATCTCTTCTCCTTGCCTGCCAGCTGGGGCATTTGACTGGGGTGGGATACAGGATGGCTGCTCTCATAGCTGGCATCCTGATCCTAGGGATGGCCAAGTGCCTGGCCAGGCCTGTAGACTTGGAGCGCCGGCCCTCTCCACACTGGCCTTTCCTCCCCATGGGCTGCCTTGGCATCCTGTCTTCATGGTGGCCAGGTTCCAAGAGTGTCTCAAGAGACAGGAAGTGGGGGCTGCCAGTTCTGGAGGCCTGGGTCCAGAAGTTGGCATAGCACCTCTTCTACCGTATTCATCCGTCAAGGAGTCTCAAGGCCATGTTCAAGTGGTGGGGAGGCAACTGCCACATCTCGGTAAAAGGAGTCAAAGAATTGGGGGGCGTATAGTAACTACCTTTCTCACTGCTGTGACCACACACCTGAGAAAAGCAATGTAAGGGGAAATACGTACGTCTTTCGGAATCACAGTTCACAGTAATAAGCATGGTAGCCTTATCAGCTGTCTGGTGACAGGAGGTGGCTTGCTCACATCTTGGATCAGAAGGAGGACAGGGACAGGGACAGGGATGCTGGTGTTCCACTGGATTTTTCTTTGCTCCTTTTTACTCAGGGAGAGACCTCCGTTTACGGTGGGATGGTCCACATTCAAGGCGAGTCTTCTATCTTCAATTAATCCTCCTGGAAACACCCTTGCAGACACACCATCAGAATCAACCATCACAGGAGCTGTGTTTTGAAAATGCCAGAAGGGGATGGGTAAGGCCGATGCTAGGGACATTGCTCTGGGCCATGTTGTGCACAGGAAGCGGGAGTGGGATGAAGAGAGGCCTGATTTGGCTTAGGAAAGAAAAGTCCAGTTTTTCTCTTTGGTCCACCTCCCCGGTCCTTGCAACATGACTTCACCCAGCCTTTTTGGCTCCTCCTTATCCCTCTTCTGAGCCTAATCGCTGAGCAAGCCCCAGTTCCTGAAGACCGAAGATCCCTAGGTCTGTGTGAGCAAACAGAAACTCCCATCACTTCTTAGAACTTCCTCTGGCTGGGACCTCGAGACACAGCTTTAAAGACCGGAAGATGTCAGGGTGTACTCAGGCAGCCGTCTTGTTCGGTTCCCCCAGCCTTCCTCGGAGGGCACATGTCCACTCAGAAAAGATGGCACATCACACAACACCAGGAGCCTGAGTTGGGAAGTGACCCCAAGAGTGCATGATTCTACAGCCCGTTTTGTTTCTACTCTGTGTCACTTCCTATGGGACAGCCCCTTTATTTTAAGGAACTGAGTCACTTTCGTCTAAGCAGCTGCTGAATGGAGCATATTTTGTGATCATGAAAACCTGCCCACCCTTCAGCCACCATCCTTGATAAGGCGAACCACAAAGCCCCACACTTACTCACAAAATGATTCCTCACTTTCTCTTCTTCCCAAGACCCCAGAAAGGCTGTGGATTCTATGGCATAGCTGCATCTCAGAAGAGAGAGAGGTGAGTCTTCTAGGAAACTCTATTACTTTAACCTCCTCAGGTTTCTGGGCCCTTCAGTTCTCTCTTTCATGAAACCAAAGACCCTACCACCAAAAAGACACATGAGCTTGAACCTCAGAACAAGGAGCATGGTGTCATCTTTAGAAATGTTGACAGCTTATGTCAGTTCTATGGTAAGGCCTCAGCAACCTTTATTTTCTAGAGTGAGGGCCTTTGGGAATCTAGGCCATGGAGACTGAAAGTGCCTGGGGTGGGATCAGTCCCCAACATCGTGTCTCTTTGTCTACAGTAGAAAGACCAAGAGGTAC